TGAAAGAACTGAGGAAAAAATTTAAGCCTCAAGTTGCAGTATTGAAAGATTCTATGGGCAAAATATTGAATGATGCAGGAAACATCAAAAGAAGATGGAAGGAATACACAGAGTCACTGCACCAAAAAGAATTGGTCGATGTTCATCCATTTCCAGAGGTGGCATTTGTTCAAGAACCAATGGTATTGAGGGAAGAGGTCGAAGCTGCACTGAGGGAACTGGCAAAGAACAAGGCTCCAGGAATTGATGGAATACCCATTGAGATGTTTCAACAAACAAATGCTCCACTGGAGGCACTCACTCGGTTATGCCAAGAGATTTGGAAGACAGCTACCTGGCCAACTGACTGGAACAGATCCATATTTATGCTCATTCTAAAGAAAGGTGATCCCACAGAATGTGGAAATTATTGAACAATATCATTAACAGCACATGTAAGTAAGCTCTTACTGAAGATAATTCAAAAACGTTTGCAGCAGTATATTGACAGAAAACTTCCAGAGGTGCAGGCTGGATTCAGAATAGGATGTGGAACGAGGGATATCATTGCAGATGTCAGATGGATCTTGGCTCAAAGCAAACAAGACCAGAAAGATGTTTACTTTGTGTTTTATTGTCTATGCAAAAGCATTTGATTGTGGATCATAAAAAATTGTAGATAACATTGAGAAGAATGGGAATTCCTGAACACTTGATTTTACTCATGAGGAACCTGTACATAGACTAGGAGGCTGTCGTTCAAACAGAAAAATGGAACACTGCATGGTTTAAAATCAAGAAGGGAGTGCATCTGGGTTGTATCCTTTCACCATACTTATTCAATCTGTATGCTGAGCAAATAATCCAAGAAGCTGGACTATATGAAGAAGAACGTGGCATTAGGACTGGAGGAAGAATCATTAACAACCTGTGATACACTGATGACACAACTTTGCTTGCTGAAAGTGAGGATGACTTGAAGTACTTACTGATGGAGATTGAAGGATACAGTCTGCAGTATGGATTACATCTCAATATAAAGAAAACAAAAATCCTCACAACTGGACCTATATGCAGCATTATGATAAATGGAGAAAAGATTGAAATTGTCAAAGACTTCACATTGCTTGATTCTACAATTGACACCAATGGAAACAGAAGTCAGGACATCAGATAACTGCAAAGGACCTCTTTCAAGTGCTGAAGAGCAAAGATGTCTCCTTGAAGACTAAGATGTACCACACACAAGCCATGGTATTTTCAATCACCTCATATGCATGTGAGAGCTGGACAATGAATAAGGAAGACTGAAGAAGAGTTGATGCTTTTGAGCTGTGGTGTTGGTGAAGAATACTGAAAGTACTGTGGACTGCTAAAAGAACTAACAGGTCTGTCTTAGAGGAAGTGCAGCCAGAATGCTTCTTGGAGGCGAGAATGGCCAGACTTTATCTCACATGCTTTGGTCATGAGAGGACCATTCCCTGGAGAAGGATGTCATTCTTGGTAAGGTGGAGGGTCGATGAAAGAGGGGAAGGCCCTCAAAGAGGTGGATTGACACGGTGGCAGTGGCGATGGGCTCAAGTGTAGCAAGAATCATGGAGCTGGCTTAGGACTGGGCGGTGTTTTGTTCTGCTGTGCATAGAGTCACTATGAGTTGGAGATGGCTCAATGGCACTTAACAACAACAACAACAACAATAGGATTTCCAAGACTGTAAATCTTTACAGAAGCAAACTGCCACATCTTTCTCCTGCATCCCATACAATAGTCATACATTATTATTCAGTGTTATTAGTTTTACTTCCTATGGGACTTCAGGATATTTGAATGCCCTTATCTAAAATTTTAAGTTAAGAATAAACCACTTCCAATAGATCATTACTTTGATGGCTAGTCAAGGAAAGGCCGACCACTAATTTCAATTAATAATGTTTACAGCAGAGTTCTCAAAAGTGCCCTTCAATAAAGCAGTCAAAGAGTCATAGTTTTGGAGAGTCTATGTAAGGTGGAAGGGAAAATGGAACAGAAATTACTTTGGAGTTCCAACTGGTTCTTATGAATTTACATGGCTTGCTCCTAAGAGGTCAACCAACTCTTCAATTTATTAAGGGTTATGTGAGTAATTCTATAATTAGCCAAAGTAGGAGATCAGATAAGATTTTTGGTCAATCTTAATCTAATCTGACAGATACTAACCCATTTCTTTGAAGCATGGCTTACCTTGCAAATCTCTTTCTGGGCTCTGGGAATCCAGGGATTCGCATCCCCCAAAGGCAGCATCTTCTTCAGTCCCTGAATGGTTTGTGACTTGAGTGGTACACATGGGCGAATTTTCCCATTCAGGTAGAGCTCACATATCCTGTCACCCAGCATGTGTTGAAAGATGACATTCCCATTCTTCCTGTTACTCATCAGGACACTGAGGAAATGGTCCAGGTCCTGCCAGAGGTCCAGGAGTTGGGTCTCCACTTTCAAATTCTGTTTCTTCAGGTGGTCTCGGAAAGGATTTCCTGCATAGGTGTCAGCACATAAGGCCCAGTGAGTGTACCCCAAGGACAGGCTTTGCTTGATTGCCTTTTTCATTGTTACCTGGGAGGAATGATTGATGATGGGGGTGAGTGTCCTCAGGCAGGTCGAAAACTTTGTATCAAAAAGGCCTTCTATGTGGAAGTGGCTGTTGGCGTTCTTCTTTGTGTAGGACCTCTTGGTACAAATATCCTCGTCCAAGGAACTAATAATTTTCTCTTTGGAATGGGCTTCATGTAGGGAAGGCACTTGTATAACCATCTTTTCTGGAGGACGTATCTCCTGTGGGGAAGTAGTGGTGGTGCCTCGCTCAAGGGGAATGGATGGCAGCTCCATTTCCAGAGACCAAGAGCTGTGGTCTATTAACTGCCACAGCTTTCTCTTGCTCTTCTTGCTTGAGTAGCGCTTCTGGTGGTACTGGCTCTTCTTGATGCTCATGTTCAGAGGGAGGCCTCCTTCATGGGTGTAGCAAACACTACAAAGGCGAGTCTCATATTCTTGCATCAGACCCTGGCACTCTTCTTCCTTGGCCATGCTCATTTTGGCATGGGTATAAAAGTTGGGGAGCCAGTAGCTCTGGAGTTTGAACAGAGCCATTTTCTGCATGTGACTCAGGATCTCTCTCCTGGTGGTTGACTGGTTTGGATGCCAGATGGAGAGGTTCAGGAGGGACCCTATGAAGAACACAGAGAGAAAAAGGGTGAAAATAGTGCAGTGATGGTGATAATATTGGAGAGGTTTTGAATTTCCCAAAATGTTTTTATTTATAGCATTTCATTAGTTCTTCATGCAATTCTAGAGTACAGACAAGTCAAATAAGTAGTAGACAAGTTTTTAGAGCTTGCCTAGTACACGTGACCCTTTTCTCTGATTATCATCTTTCTTCCCCATAAAAATAAACTATTTAATGGGATTTCTGAAGTTAGTTTTTAGACTATTGATACCATGGTAAAGAAAAGCAAAATGAGTCAGAAAAAGTGTTTAAGAACAAGAGATATATGCTTTTGAATAGGATTCCTTAGGGTCAGATCTGACTGGAGAGGTTTGAACTGGATAATTTGAAGGAGCCCTTACTGGTCCTGATCTTAATATCATAAATTCTTAATTACCTACATGAACAGAGAAAAGTGTGAATAATTCCAAATGGCAGATCTTCTGGAATATATTTGTATTTAGGTTAAAAATCCCTCCCTACTTAGTAAATTTAAATTTGGATCAATCTGATGTTCTAGATGAAGGTCGCCAACATTTTATTATGTCAAGCACTGTATAGTAAACATTTTAGGCCTTGCAAACCACATACAGTCTCTGTTACATAGTTTTATTTATTTATTTTTTTAAGAAAAAGAAAGAAATGCTTAAAAAAATTGAAAGCCATTTTTAGCTCATGGGCTACATTAATGTCATTTGGTCCATAGTGTGTAGATTATTCTAGCAAAATTCAATTTAAAAACATGAAGAGCCATGCAGGCTCAGAAGATGCAGGGGTTTTTCAGTTACCCTCTGCCACTTCTTCTTTGCTCTTTTTAGCCAGCCTGCATTGACTGGTGATACCTCAGGAAGGGGGCTGGGGTACCAGGCTAAGTGCTGCCGTTCTTTCTCAAATCTTCTCTGGCTAAGAGTTCTCACTGGCTTCCCTGATACATAGCTGATGGAGAGTGGCAAGTCTGGAAAGCAAGAAGCTGAAGGTAATCAGATGCTGGGCTGATTGTTTTGTTTCACCCCCCAAGGATTTCACTTCAGATGTGCTTTAGGATTCTTACTGATGTTCATGTTGCAGAGAGTCACCACCTTGGAGCCCTCCTGTAGATGGGTGGCCTTCAACACGAGGAGGAGGGACAGGTAGTGGTCTCTTAATTCCAAGTCCATCTCATCTATGCTCAGGATCTTCTCAGCAAGGATCCAGAAATCCACCAACTCTTCACCTATGATCAGACAGGGTAGGCTCAGAGCTTCACTCCAATCTTGCTCCTTTGGTAGTTGCATCTGGGTGGAACACTCATAATCCCCACCAACCTGCAGTACTGACTCAAACATCATTATTAGTCACTTTGGGTTAAAACATCACCTCCAGAAAAGCCATAGTGCAGGGTGGGAGGAAGGGAGGATGGGCAGGAAAGAATGGGACAGGGACTTAATGGATAGTGAGGGTTTTTTGTAATTTTTTGTTAGTATTGTTTTTAGAAGAACTGTCAATTTAGGAAAAATTTCAAGATGCTGAGGTTGGATCATGAGATATTTAATTTTTGTCCAACAAATGAAGTTCAGCAGAAAGAGACTATTTGCCAGATCATGGACCCAGAGCCGCTTGCAGAAAGGCCCTGGAACCTAAAGGTGCCAAAGACTACATTCCCTGTTTCTCAACTTTCCAGGGTCAACTCTGAGTGGCAAGCTTACAAACAGTCTGTCTAGTTCTTTTTCTGTTCCCTAAGACTCAAGATTTCACTCTTAAACTAGGGCTTGTCCCTGGATGAAGCTTAAAATTGCTAAACTGGAGTATCGTCCATGTCAGCCTCCCAGCAATCATATCCTATCCATTCATGCAATAGAACAGGCAGCAGATGATTGCCCCTAGTATCTCCCAACAGAATTTGATTTATTTACTTGCTCCTTGTCTGTCTACCTATGAGAGTAGCAGCTTTATGAAGCAGAGACTTGCTGCTGTTGTTCATCTTTGCATCCCTGGCTACCAGCACAGTGACTGCCACATAGTGGTGCTCAGTAATCATAGTTCAATGAATGAATAAAAGGGATTCATTGATTTTGCCCTAACCTGCATGATGAGTCAATTTTCAAAGATTTGTATACAACCTGTTTATTAAGAATTTTTTATGTTGTTGTTGTTATGTGCCATCGAGTCAGACCTGACTCACAGCAACCCCTCCTTGGGTTTCCGAGTCAGTATCATTATGGAAGTACATTGCCCAACCTTCCTTCTGAGGAGTGGCTGGTGGGTTTGAACTGCCAGCCTTCTGGTTAGCAGTCAAGTGCCTTAGCCACTACGCTAACCAGGAGCTCTGGTGGCGTGGTGCCTAAGGCATTTGACTGCTAACCAGACAGTTGGTGGTTCTAACCCACCAGCCACTCTGTGAAAGGAAGACTGGGCAATCTGCATCCATAAAGATTTGCCACCTTGGAAACCCAATGAGGGTTGCTATGAGTTGGAATCGACTCCATGGCAGTGAGTTTGGTTTGATTCAGTTTTATAGAAACCAGTTTTTGTTGAGCTGACTCTTACTCATAATGACCACATGTGTCTCAGAGAACTGTGTCCCAAAGGGTTTTCAATAACTGAGTTTTTGGAAGTAGGTCACCAAGCCTTTCTTCCAAAGTACCTCTGAGTGGACATGAACCTCCAACCTGGCAGGTTAGTAGCTGAGCACACAAACCATTTGCACCACCCAGGGATCCACAGTCACTAAAGATACACAGAACTTCCAGTTGGGGCTCAGAGACATCTTGGAAACTTAAAAATGTGCAACGACCTCAGGGACAACTCTGAGAACCCACCTGCACTGCCCTTGAGGTAGGCACAGAAACGCTTCATCCCTCTGACCCCGCCAACGCATTTCTGGAGGAGCCACTGGTCTGCCTTTCTCCATCTCATCATCTTGGCTGCCAAGAAAAGTCCATGTTAAGAGATAAAGAATGAGCTCTTCTCCTGCTCTCTCTGTTTCTCAGCCTTGCACACAGGCAGCACTCGTTGCTCAGTGTGAGTAGGGAAAATGGTGTCCAGTTAGATGAACTGAGTCCTGATCATGGGTTGCTTTTGAGGCTAGGCACCAGATGCACTGCCATTATGTCAGGTGATATTTGAAGGGCTCACAAGCGTGCATACAAGCCACAGCCCAGAAACACTGTCCAACCAAGGACTCTCCCTTCTACAGTCCCCATTGGACAAGATTTTTGCCCATTGTATGCATTTAACTCAATTTTCCCAATACATATATGGAAGGAGGGAGTTGTATATGGGGTGATTTGTTACAACAGTTTACTCTGTGGATGTTCCTGAATCTTAACTTTGACTAGGATGGGATTACTTAGTTTCCTTTGGCTAGCTGAGTTGTTATTCAGGTTACCAGTTCAACTCTGGATAAGAATTGTAACCATTAATTCTTTCACAAACATTTATTATATGCCTACTAAGTGCCAGGTACTGTTCTAGGTGCTTGGGATACACCAATACAGAGAACAAAAATCCCTGCCCTCAGGGAGCTTACATTTTAGCAAAAGAGACAGAGAAAAAACATTAAGTATAATAAATAAGTACATAATCTAGTAAGTATAAAGGTTAAGTGTAAAGGTGCTACAGAAAGAAGGAAAAAGTAGAGCAAGTAAACGGAATTGGCGGCAGGGGTTAGATGATTGGCAGGACATAGTTTTAAATAGGGTCATTAGGGTAGTCTTTACTGAGAAGATCTTTATTTGAGGAGGTAGAAAAAGTAGCCATGTAGATACCTAGAAGAAGAGCATTCTAGGCAGAGGCAATGGCCACTGCAAAGCCTTGAGATGGGAATGTGTCATGCATTTTTCAGGAACAGCAAGGAGGCCATGATGTGGCTGGATGGAGTGAGCAAAAGACAGATGAGATCAGAGAATAAATGGGGCCAGACCTCTAGGCCCTCAAAGACCTTGTAGCATTATGGGGTTTCACTCTGAGTCAGGAGTCAATGGGAAGGGGATTGAGTATAGAAGTTACATGAAGTGATTCATAGTTTTGAAGGATCATTCTGGCTGCCATGAGTGGGAGAACAGGAGTAGAAGCAGAAAGAATAATTAGGAGACAATTCCAGTACTTGGATGAAAAATGATGGTGATTTAGACCAAGATGATAATTTTCCACTTCTGGATATATTTTAGGCAATGTTACCATGTTCTTTGGCCACCAATAACTCCCTCATTTTGGGCTCCAGTGAGACAAACCGACCAGCCCATTTGACTTCTGCTTATTGCTCTAACAACCAATTGCCATAGACTCAACTCTGACTCATGGTGCCCCATGAGTGCACCAGTAGTGCATATGAACGTCATTAGCAGGTGCGAGGTCTATATAGTGGGAAGGAAAACAGGAAGGGAAAAAAAGAGCAGAGAACTGTGGTCATACAGTTTTCAATGACTTTTGTTTTTTGAAGTAGATCACCAATCCTTTCTTCTGAGGCACTCCTTAGTGGATAGTAGACTTGAGCCTCCAACATTTTGTTAGCAGCTAAACATGTTAAGCATTTGCACCACACAGGGACCCCACTTATTGTTGTAGGTACCCATTTTTCAGAGTCCCTGGGTGGCACAAATAGTTAAGCACTCAATTACTGGCCAGAAGGTTGTCAGTGTAAACCCACCAAAAGGTGACTTGGAAGATGGGCTTAGTGGTCTGTTTCTGGAGGCCACAGTCTTGAAAATCTTATGGAGCAGTTCTACTCTGCACATACAGGGTCACCATGAGTTGGAATCAAGTTGATATCAACTAACAACAACCACCCATTTTTCAGTCTAGGATTTCACCTGTTGCTATGACAAGGGTTGGGTTTACCAGCATGTCTAAGACCACAAACCAAAACCAAAACCAAGACCAAACTCACTACCATCGAGTTGATTCTGACTCATGGTGACCCCCATTGAGTTTCCAAGGTTGTAGATCTTCATAGAAGTTGATTGCCTCACTTCCCTTCCATGGAGCATCTGGTGGGTTTGAACCCCCAATTTTCTGGTTAGCAGCTAAATGCCTTACTCAGTACACCACCAGAGCTCCTTAAGACTACAAAGCCACCCAGTATTTGTTCCTTAATGTAGGAATGACAGGCACAGGGATATGTACCTAGATTCCCACGCTTCCTCCCCAGCAACTCCCCCCCCCCCACACACACCTATGCTTACCTCCTTCTGGGGAGTTAATGAAGCTGATGAACTCCTGACAGAGAATGTACTGGAAACATAAGTTGGTTTTGCAGAAGAAAGGTAACCTGTATTTTTCCAACCAGGTCAATAATCCTTTGTATTTGGCAATCTAGAGTTCACATTGAACAACAATAGAAAAGAGAACAGAAATGGAATTACTAAGAAATACGATTTAGAAAGAGCAATTAATAACCTCACATTCACAATATGTGGCCTGGACAAGAGGAAGTGGTGATTAAAAATCAAATCTAAGAAGAGTGGAGACTGGGGTTGAGGCTCCTACAGGGAGGTTAGCAAATGGATTGGCAGGAAATAAGAGTTTAGGCTCTTGGTCTTTCATCAGAAATCTTACTTATTCCTTAAAATGACCTATGACTTTATTGACAGAGAAACAAAAGAGATTTGTGTCTGTTGCATCAAGTCAAACTCTATTCAATCACCTTCTCAGTAAACACACATAGTATCTCACAAGCCAACAACCCATATGAACTGCACGATGTGTACAAAAACACACAAAGGCTCACACATAGTATCATATAGAGTATGTGATAGATCCCTGAGGGCTTGAGCCACCCAAAAAGGGAGAAAAAAATAAAATTTTTAAATTTTTAGAATTCTTTTAGGAAAACCAAAGGTAATAATCAGAGTAGGGTATCTTTCTCAGTTCTTCAGATATGGGAAAAGAAGAAAGTTAACTGTGAGCAAAGTCTAGAGCAATCTTTCTGGTCCAATGTGCCACCAGTAGTGCATATGAACATCATTGGTGGGTACAAGGTCTATATAGTGGCAAGGAGAACAGGAAGGGAAAAAAAGAGAAGAGAAAGACAATAGACAAGGGAAAGGAAAAAGGGTATAAAAGGAAAAGACTAATTAGGAAAAAGATGATACTCTGGAGGAGAGTGGTGCAATTGCCATTAGTAAATGCAGCAAATTATCTTGATCTATACCTTAGTAAGGCAAATGATTAATCTATGGCACATACATAGGATGCCATTTCCTAGACCATACTTATGGCAGACATTGCCAATCAATTACCAATTGAGCACATCTTGTTGTTGTTGTTATGTGCCGTCAAGTCAAACCCGACTCTCCGAGGCAGTATCACTACGGAAGTAGGATTGCCCAACCTTCCTTTCTAGGAGTGGCTGGTGGGTTTGAACCGCCAGCCATCTGGTTAGCAGTGTCTTAGCCACTATGCTACCAGAGCTCCCATTGAGCACATAGTGCTTCAAACATCTGCTAATCAACAATTATGTGGATCTGAGAGATGTATCCCTTTTGCTAACAAACTACAATATAAAAGGAAGAATTTACCTTTTAAAAGGCAAAAACATAAAAAGGAGAAAAGTCCATCTGGGAGTGACATTGTTCATTCTACTTACTTGCTTTCTTCCAGAGTCACCCTCCAGGCACCCTCTTCCTCTTCCTCTCCTAATCCACATTGGAACTTTCAGCTCGCTCTTCTCGCTCCCAAACCCTCCACAATTCAAAACTCTTACTCACCAAGTCATATGGTATTTCTGGCCACAAGCTCCACTGTGCATTTTCAACAGTGTAAAATGGCATCTGACCAAAGACCTGCAAAAGAAAGCTAGGAAACAGCCAAGAGGGAAGGACTTTCTTCATGTATATGGCATGATCCATCTGTACCCACAGGGTAAGAGAGAGTTGATTGCTTCCCTATTTCAAGGGACCTGAATTCTTTCTTTCTTTCTTTTTCTTCTGTTTTCCTTTTTTCAATTGTCTGAAATTTCTATAACCTTGCTCTGCAGATGGTGTAGAGCAAGGCCTCAAATCGTTTCCAAATTGTTCTTAGTGCAAGCACCATAGGAATGCACAGAGCCACTCCAGGCCTGCGCATGCTGGAGGCTTGCAGGGGGACCTGAATTCTTAAATGTATTCCACTGCATCAGCTTGCCTTGTGCATAAATATGCAAGTAAACTAAACAGCAAAATTCTTTTTTTTTTCTCCCCCAACCTAGAAGCTATTTTGCCTGTGTCCAAAGGCCAAAACCCATGGCATTACAACAGATTTGCTTTGCATATTGTGTTATTTATGTTCTCCGTGGACTTGGAGAGTTAAAGCAAGGATATAAGACCCTTTCCTAAACAGCAGTACATAAACTCTTGAACTAGAGAAAATAAAGAGGACTGGGGATATGGAAACTAAGAGTCCAAGTCATGTATGAGGACATTAAACCACAAAAACCAAACCCACTGCCATCAACTTGATTCTGACTCGTAGTGACACTTTAGGACAGAGTAAAACTGCCTGTCATAGCGACACTTTAGGACAGAATAGAGCTGCCTGATAGAAACCCCAAGGCTGTAAATCTTCATGGTAGCAGATGGCCTCATCTTTCTCCCACAGAGTGGTGGGTGGATTCAAACCACCGACCTTTTGGTTAGCAGCCAAATGCTTTAACAACTATGCCACCAGAGCTCCTTATGAGAACATTGGAATGTCCAGAATTGATGGGTAATTCTCTGCTATTGTTCTCTTTTATCATGGAGAAAGGACTATTGCCTAGGCAACCAGCTTTGAGATAATGGGAAAGAGCTGCTAGGTTTATAGATGTTTTAGCTTAGCAGTCTCAGTGCAGGCACTGAAATGCCTTAGAATGCTCCAGAAGTATTGGTGATAAACTAGAAGGGCTGAATCCCCATCTCCTGATTGAGCTCCCCTCATGTCATTTCTGTCAGCCTGACCATATCCATGAGACTGACAGTCCCAAATGTTTGTCCATCTGTGGTCCCTCACTCTCTCTCCTTTGTCCTGGCTGTGAAGTATGGAAAGAAGGTCAGGGTGCTGCTCACATTTTACAAATAGAAGCTAATAAAGGAGATTCAGCCCTAAGTAGTCCCTCTCTGCTCTGCCCTTGGTGTTTGAGACAACATGTCCCACTTGGTCTATTAAGTTACCATTCAGGGGGATGTAATAGGACTTTAAAGTCATGAGATTATGAAGAATGATATGTGGAATCAGTTTTACTCCATGAAAATAACATCATAGGGAACACAAGGTTGATGTAGAGACCACACGAGTTCTGGAGCCAGGAGGTCTGGTCAGCTTCAGGACTGCTCTGATTCACTGTGTACTCTCAGGCAAAGCATAAACTTCTGAGATCCCTTTAAAAAGGAAATAATACCCACTGAACAGGGTGATGGTGGGAATTCAATGATTGCAGTTTATAAATTGATAACAGTATTTAATGTGGAAATATTACTGTTTCTCTCAAACGACCAAACCCATTGCTGTGAAATTGATTCCAACTCATGGAGACTTCATCTATTATAGGGTAGACCTGCTCTGTAGGGTTTTCTTGGCTCGAATCATTAAAGAAGCATATCATCAGGCCTTTCTCCCATGACATTGCTGGGTGGATTCCAACTGCCAACCTTTAGGTTAGTTGTTGTTTTTCGGTGCCATCGAGTCAGATCTGACTCATAGCAACCCTATGGACCACAGAACGAAACATTGCCCAGTCATGCACCATCCTCACAAGCACTGCTATGTTTGAGCCCATCACTGCAGCCATTGTGTCAATTCATCTTGTTGAGGGTCTTCTTCTTTTTCACTGACCCTCTACTTTACTAAGCATGATAACCTTCTCCAGAGACTGGTCTCTCATGATAACATCACCAAAGTATGACAGGTGAAGTTTAGCCATACTGGCTTCTAAGGAGCATTCATTTCAGCTGTATTTCTTCCAAGATAGATTTGTTCCTTCATCTGGCAGTCCATGGTATATTCAATATTCTTTGCCAAACCACATTTCAAATGCATCGATTCTTTTGTGGTCATCCTTATTCATTGCTCAGCTTTCACATGCATATGAAGGAATTGAAAATACCATACCTTGGGTCAGGTGCACCTTAGTCTTCAAAGTGACATCTTTGTTCTTTAACACTTTAAAGAGGTCTTTTGCAGCAGATTTGTCTGATGCAGTACATTGTTTGCTTTCTAAACTGGTACTTCTATGGGCATTGAATGTGGGTACAAGTAAAATGAAATCCTTGTTAACCTCAATCTTTTCTCTATTTATCACTATGTTGCTTATTAGTCCAGTTGTGAGGATTTTTGTTTTCTTTATGTTGAGGTATAATCCATATTGAAGGCTGTAGTCTTTGATCTTGATCAGTAAGTGCTTCAAATCTTCACTTTGACCAAACGAAGTTGTGCCATCTGCATATTGCAGGTTGTTAATCCAATTCTGATGTCACATTCTTCTTCATATAATCCAACTTCTCAAATTCATATAGTCCAACTTCTCAAATTATTTGCTTAGCATGCAGACTGAATAAGTATGGTGAAAGGAAACCCCTTCCTGATTTTAAGTCATGCAGTATCCCCTTGTTCTGTTTGAATGACAGTCTCTTGGTCTATATAAAGATCACTCATGAGCACAATTAACTGTTCTGGAATTCCTGTTCTTTTCTATGTTATCCATAATTTGTTATGATCCATACAATCAAATGCCTTTACATTGTCAATAAAACACACGTGAACACCTTTCTCGTATTCTCTGTTTTCAGCTAAGATCCATCTGGCATCAGCAATGCTATTCCTCATTCCATGTCCTCTTCTGAATCTGGCTTGAATATCTGGCCGTTCTTTGTTGATGTATTGCTGCAACTGCTTTTGAATTATCTTCAATGAAATTTTAATTGCTTGTGATATTAATGATATTGTTCACATTCTGATTGTTCACTTTTCTCTGGAATGGGCACAAATATGGATCTCTTCCAGTCAGTTGGCCATGTAGTGCCAACTTTCTTGGCATAAAAAAATGAGCACCTCCAGTGTTGCATCCATTTGTTGAAGCATCTCAGTATTCTGTCAGTTCCTGGAGCCTTGTTTTTTGCCAATGCCTTCAGTGCAGCTTGGACTTCTTCCTTCAATACCATCAGTTACTGATTGTAGACTACCTTCTGAAATGGTTGAACCTTGATCAATTCTTTTTGGTACAGTGATTCTGTGTATTACCTTGCATCATCTTTTGATGCTTCCTGCATAGTTCAATATTTTGCCCATAAACCAAAAACCTACTGCTATAGAGTCAGTTCTGACTCATAGTGACCCCCATAAGGTTTCCAAGGCAGTAAATCTTTATGGAAGCAGACTGCCTTCTCTTGCAGAGAAGCTGATGGGTTCAAACAACCAACTTTGGTTTTGAACCCAATGCCTTAACTACAGCACCACCAGAGCTCCTTTAATATAGCAACTTGAGGCTTGAAGTTTTTCTTCAGTTCTTTCATCTGAGAAATGTTGAATCCTTTTTGATTTTCTAATTTCACATCTTTGCACATTTCTTTATAATACTTTGCTTTGTTTTGAGCTGCCTTTTGAAATCCTCTGTTCAGTTATTTCATTTGAGTATTTCTTCCATTTGCTTTAGCTACTCTCCATTCAAGTGCAAGTTACAGAGACTCTTCTGACATCCATTCTGGTCTTTTCTTCCTTTCCTGTCTTTTTAATGATGCTTTGCGTTCTTCATGTATGATGTCCTTGATATCATCTCACAACTTGTCTTGTCTTTAGTAATTGGTGTTCAATGTGTCAAATCTATTCTTCAGATGGTCTCTAAATTCGGGTGAGATATACTTTGGCTCTAGTGGACTTGTTTTAATTTTCTTCAGCTTCAACTTAAACTTTTATACGAGCAATTGATGGTCCATTCGACAGTCAGCCCCTGGCCTTGTTCTGACTGATGATATTGAGCGTCTACATTCTCTCTTTCCAGAGATACAGTCAATTGATTGCTATGTATTCCATCTGGCAAGGTTCATGTGTATAGTCATCATTTATGTTGTTGAAAAAAGGCATTTACAATGAATAAGTCATTGGTCTTGCAAAGTTCTATCATGCAATCCCCAGTGTCACTTCTATTATCAAGGCCATATTTTCCAAACACCGATGCTTCTTTTTTATTTCCAACTTTTCCATTCCAATCACCAGTAATTATTAATGCATCTTGACTGCATGCTTTGCCAATTTCAGACTGCAGAAGTTGGCAAAAATCTTCAGTTTCTTCATCTTTGGCTTTAGTGATTGGTGTGCAAGTTTGAATAACAGTAATGTTACTGCCTTCCTTGTAGGCCTATGGATACTCTGGTGGTGCAGTGCCTAAGGTGTTTGCTAACCAGAAGGTTGGTGGTTCAAACCCACCAGCTACCCTGGGCAATCTACTTCCTTAAAGATTTACTGCCAGCGAAATAAGTCAGTCACAAAAGGACAAATATTGTATTAGTC